ACAAGATCTCTGTCCTTAATATGTTTATCTATGAAACTCAAAAACAACACTACTAGTCGAACAATACCCTATACCTGGTTCGGTTGTGTGAGTGCAACCTGTTGAAATCCCTGCTTAGTATATACTAAATTGATCTTCGGTATATGAAGGTAATTGAAAATGAAACGTGATGAAGGGCGGGATGGGAGAGGGAGTGGGTGAGGGGAGGGCCACGGGAGGGAGGGAGGTCGGGGGGAAGCCACAACAATTATGTGTATTTCTGATCTATCTCTGCAAGTCTTCAGGTTTTATTCAGGTTTCAGAAACAGTCATGAAGACTCAGTAGCCCCATTAATATTTTTTAAAGCACTAAAATGGGATCGACTTGGAAATGTGATTACTTGTTAAGGGTCTAAGATAATGGATTATCTGAGAGAAACCAACCAGAGCAAGAACAACTGGAAGTTTTCATTATAACAGGTAAAAACCTGCCTCACGTTTCCCATATGCCTCTTCTTTTGAGCACCTTTTATGTACCAAACATTATATTAGGTATATTATAAACTTTATTTCTCCTCAGGCAATAGTTATTATTTCTATTTTACAGATTCTGTATTAGACTAATTCACAGTATTTTCTGTAAGGAACCACTATTACTTATGATTCCTGGGCACTGACTCTACTCTGTCTCCACACATGACCATCTGGCTTCTGTGTCAATGAGTCTGGTTTGAGAGCCAAGAGGTGTGATGCTTAATGCTAACCAGAAGCACAAGGGTATTAAATCTGAGAGTTTCTGGAATGATGTAGTACATTGGGTATATGAGAGTGCAGTGCTGCAGAAATAATTGAGCCTTTCAGGTCTGGTTTTACACCCAATTCACAGGCAGCTGTGAGATCCCTCAAGGACTCTGGAAATCAAGGGAAGCTACTCTGTGATAGACTTGTTTGACTCTCCTGTTTGGTAACCTGGATGCTGGTAAAACATTGTATCCTTAGCTCATTAAATTTGGAGCATAATCTTGCTGTCTGAATGTAAGCATGTGTGTCAGTGTGTGGTTTGCGGGATTGTGTGTGGGGATGATGCATGTGGTGGAGTCTGGACATGTGCATATCCTAGTGTGTCTATGAACATGTGTGCATGTATGGGGTCTTTTTCTCCAATCCATAATCCAAGTATTCAGGTGAAATATCTCTTTTTCCCTCTTGTGAAAAAACTCTTCTTTTATAATTTTTACCGCTGCTTATCCAGGGCACTTATTTTTCCTCTTCCTTCCATCTTTTTTTTAAATCTTTTTCAATTTTCTGCTGATTATCAGCTAAACCATAAGATACTGAAGAGAAGGAACACTCAAACCAATCTCCATAGCATCTTTATGACAGAAATGCACCAAGGCATTAAAGGTTCCTTTCTCATTGTGTCATTTTGACTGTTTTATACATTTCAATTGATAATTGGGACACAGGTTGCTCAGATTTGATCCAGAAATTGGGAAGCAATTATTGATAGATTTCAAGGTAGTACAATAAATATCAAAATCATCCCTTTTATCCTCAAAACATTTTAACTTTTCCTGCTTACCTTCTTGCCCACAGTGACTGCAAACTTTTATTCCCGGGATATTTGTGATTCAGTAGCACAGAGACAGGAAGAAAAAGAGGATATCAGCTCTATTTGATGTGTTCTCCAGCCACAAGGAATGACCATATGGCCAGAACTGAGTCCCAGCAGAACAAAGCCCCCTCTGCCACACACAAGGGCTCTTTGAGTTTTTAACGGGAATGTGTGAAGAGCAGTAGAACTGCAGCAAGGAATCCTTCCAAACCTGAGAGTGAGAAAATATTAGGGCATTTCTTCAGACTGGAGAGGCTGAGGTTAAAAGGAAAAAGGTAAGGGAGAAATGAAAGAGACAGCATACCCAAGCAGGAGAATGAACAGAAAGTGGGGTGAATGTGCGGAGTGGCTCCTACTAGGAGTACTTTTATTAGGCATGCAAGTGAGTCTAATCAGCCTCACAAGGATCACAAAGAAAACACAGGCACATCTCCATAACTTTACACACATACACATTTATGGTCAAGACTGGGTGATAAATTTCATTTGTCTTCTTACTTCAACTCCACATTATCAAAACCTAGAAAAAAGTCTTTCTACAGTGTGTTAGCTAAGGAATGTGCAAAGCTGTCATTTTCTCACATAAGAAAGTAGAAGTATATTAGTACGAAGGAAAATAAAATTTCAAACTAGTGTAACAAAAAACGTCTAAGGCCTGACTTCTCATCTTATATAAAACTATTTTCCTAATCTTTGCTGCTAAAAATCCCTCTAAAATAATCATTTTTCAAAATAAATTGTTTTATTAAAGGGAACCAATAGGTTTTTCAAGAAATAATATGTGATAGATTGAACTGTTACATTTTTATTCACAACCTTTTCTTCCTTCCTCTCTTCTTGCCCATCCTTCGTCTTTTCCCACTCATTCCTCCATCCCCTACTTTCTTCACCCCCTTTCTTCTTCCCTCCTTTCTTCAAACATTCTTTGAGAGCAGCACCCAGTACCAGCACAGGCTCGTGGAGGGATGAACAGTGAAATAGTATTTATTAACTAGTACGTGTTAACCCTTTGTGCTCCAAGTACGGATTGCTGCCTGGGCTGGTGTGTGGGGCTGGCTGATTTGGTTCACATTCATAGGACCAGATGGGTCCTGAAGCAGCACCATGTTCCTGGGTGCTCCTGGGGTTATGGAACAAAGGGAAAAACTAATACTGCTTAGGAAGAGGTTAGATCAGGAAAAGTGGAGTCAGAGTCTTAAGTCGAAGCCCTGATGTTTTGAAAGAACATAGTATTTTCTAGAATATGAATAAGTTGGCTTAGAGTTCCCACAAGGGGAACACTAGTATATGTGAGGCTACTCTACATGCTGTTTTTAACCTGTCTTCTGTATTTAGACGTTTTTGCTTGTTTTCTTTACTCATTTGTAAAACTATCTCTAAGTTATCTCTGAGAATCTGGTGTCATTGGGTTTGGAAATACTGGTGATGAGATATATAGTTATTACTCATTTTCCTGATACCTTTATAACACAATCATCTTACTCTCCCTCTTTCTGCCCCTTCACATTTATTCATGTATATGAATGAACAGTGTGTTTTGGCTTCTAAGGATATATGGGGACAGGCTGCACAGGCTGGAGTGTGTTTAAATGGCAGAAATTCTATGGGCTGGGGTCCTGATAGGATCCAGCAGGAAACAGCAGCTATTTAAGTATTTTCGGAACAGTCTTCAGGTATACAATTTGTTATCCACCAAAATTACTGCACAATGCTTTAGGCAACTAGTTTATAGGTAAATCAAATCCCACAAATCCATCAAGGGCATCAACGGGCAGGATACTCGGCTACCTTCTCCCCCAACAGAACAAAAACATGATGTAGTAGTGGTAGGAATGAAGGCATTATTACAAAAGATGCTAGTATAATAAAGAGTCATATCTCATCAAAAGGAAATCCACAATCTATTTCTGAATCCAGAGCCTCCCTGGAGTCTCATGAAGAGTCAGCTAAAATACAAAAGACAGGTAGCGGAAGTTTCAGGTTGAATGAGGCACTCTCTGTGAAGCTGCTCGGTAGACTGCAGAGTGCTCTACAAGTCCAAAAAACAGGACCACGATCTTAGACCACCAAAAGTCAGCCATGTCTAAGAAGACCCAGGTAATCACTCCTGTTTTGGGCAAATAAATTAGTCTATCAGAATCTTAGTTTCCTCATCTGCAGAATGAGGCACTGACATCTACCTAGCAGCCAGGTCAAAACCATTGATAACATGTGAAAATTACCAGGCACAGATCTTGGCAAATGCTGGGTATGCAAAATGGTAATTATTTTCATTATAACAGACATTTGTAACCACCAGCTTTAGAAAAATCTCACACAAAAGCTTTCTCTTGAGTTGTACTCACAAAACAGGTATGTGTAATTCAAGCAATCTTGTATTCCCGATACACCCCAAATTAGGAGAATAGCAGTGACTTTACAGTTCACATTCCAGTCTGCATGGGGTATTTCTAAGAACGAAGCTCAAGCCTTTAAAGAATAAGAGGTACATTGGACTGTCTGGAAGAAGAAAACAAAGAGAAGAAAAATGAAGAATGGAGAAAACACAGTCTTGGATGGCAGCAGCCCAGGGCGAGTGGGCGATTTTCAGAATGATAATAAGCACTCACCACCCCACGTCTCAGGGCTGCTCCAACTTCATGCACAGTGGGGAGCCGTCTATGCTCTACACTATCAAATTGTACATGCAAGTTATTTGTAACAGAACATTGAAAAGTCAATGAAGGCAAACCTGGTAGGCGGTTACTGTCAGAAAACATCTGAATCAATAGGACACTATCAGAATTGTCTTTCCCAAGCAAAACACAGAACTGTATTAACCAAAAGCATGACAGCACTGTGAAATTTCCTCACTCCAGTAACTTAAAGCAACATAGACCTTGGCGTGTGGGCTCTCGGGCCTTACTCCACAAGTCAGAAAATAACAACAAAATGTTATTAGGGGCTGTGTGATTGAGGACCACCTGAGAGATGTGTCGGTTCTGCACAAGCACAAGGTCACACATTTTGGTTTGCAATCATTTCTAGAATGTGATGACATTAGAAGAAACTAAGGTAAGCTAATAAAATGTCTTTTTTCCAAATGTATCTTTTTTTCCCTTCCTACTACTATTCTGTTACTAAGGAGTCCTCAAAGTGGGACTTAACCAGGGAAAAACAACAAGAACAAAAACATTTTAACTATTATTTTCCATTGCTTTAGTTCAACCTTCAGACACAATAATTTAACCTTCATGATCTCATTGCGGCCTCAACCCTGATCAGTCATTGCCATGTGTGTTACTCTATTTTTTTATCAATCAAAATGGAAAGTCAACATGGAGGTAGGTCATGTAATGTCCATACAGAATGTCCCTTCCTTCGTAAAGCTTCCCAGGCAGTATTAAACTTCCATAGCACTTCTTACCTTTCAACTATGTTATACTGTCAGTAAAGTATCCACAAGTTACACTAAAACGTGAGTTATTCCAGGATAGAGACTGTGTCCTTTCGATGCTGCTTGCCCAGCAACACGGCTGGCAGGTAGGGGAAGTGTGAGGTGACAGAGCAACAGCCTTGTATCTTGGAGTCCTGCTCTCACATTCCAATTCTGTCAGTTATTAACTGTGAAAGTCACTTAACCTTTCTGATGCACCACTTCCCCAATAAATGCTAGCTGAAAAATTGTTAGTAAGCACATCAGGAACGCTCGTTCAAAGTGTGAAGGCATGAAGGGATTATTTCCTTCTTATTGCTGTAAGATTCAACCAGCAATTCTTGAAAATTAATATGCCATAATATGCACATTAGCAGTTAAATGGTAGTATTAGAACACTTGAGGGCTATACATTTGTACTCCTACTTTGAATTTTCTTGCAAGTTTTATTTATTTATTTGGAAGTCTGAGAGGAAACAGAGAGAGACAGAGAGAGACAGAGAGAGAGAGGGAGAGAGAATCTACTATCTGCTGGTTCACTCTGTAAATGTCCACAATGGCTTGGACCAGGGTTAGGCTAAAACTGGGAACCAGGAACTCAATCCAGGCCTCCCAGGTGGATAGCAGGGACTTAACCACTTGAGTCATCACCTGCTGTCTCCCAGGATACACATTAGCAGGAAGTTGCAATGAGGAGCTTAGTTCAGACTCAATCTCTGGTACTCTGATATGGAGTGCAGGCATCCTAAATGCCATCTTATCTACTGTGTAAAATACCCATTCTTGCATTCCTATTTTGAATCAGTATGCCTTTCCTTATTATTCAATTTATTTTTTAGAGAGATGGTAACTTAAAAATACCCCCAGCTCCATAAACCATCTAAATAACTGCCAACATATAAAAAATGATAATTAGATGAAGACTGGCTAATTCCAGTCTGAGTAGTTAAAATGTAGCATATTTATGATGTAGAAACCTTGAATTACCTTAAATTCATGTATTTATTTTGCTGATTGCCTATACAGGACTGGATTTTCCTGATTAACTTCAGGGTTTATGATAGAGAAAGCTGTTCTACAAATTAGGAACTCTATATGCATATCTTATCATTTTGGTAGGGATTTGGCAAAAGGTCATACTATAGACAACTGCATTTTTTTCAACAAATTATAAGGTAAACAGCATATGCATCCACTGGGATATTATTTAGCCCTAAAAAGGAAGAAATTCGGCCACACGCTCTAATAAGAATGAATTTCAAGAAGACATTCTAAGTGAAATAACTCAATCACAAAGAGGACAAATATTGTACGAATTTACTTATATGAGCAGGTATCCACAGTAGCCAAATTCATAGAGACAGAAAGCAGAATGATGGTTGCTTGGTGTGTGACAAAGTGGGTATCGATAGTTATTTCTTTAATAAGTACGTAATTTCACTTTGAGGAAAGTGAAAATGTTTTCAACACAGGTGATAGTGATGACTGCACAATGGCATGAATGCACTGTTTGTCCATGTATCATATAATTCGTGGAGTAATGGAGTTTTCTGAACTGGAATCTTTTTGCCAATTCCCTATGAAAAGGTAAGATGTAAATATGAAAATATGAGTTCTTAATTTGTAGGGAATCTCTTTTGTTATTTTATCAACACTGAACTGTCCACTTTAAAATGGTCACAATGGCAGATTTTATGTGTATTTTACCACAATAAAAAGTATCAAAAATGTAGATTTGTAAAAGGCTAATGATAGTGTTCTTGAAAATAAAATCTTATCTATGTGGCTGGCACTGTGGTGTAGCAGGTAAAGCCTGCAGTATGGGCATCCCATACTGGTGCTGGTTCGAGTCCTGGTTGCTCCACTTATGATCCAGTTCTTTGCTACGGCCCAGGTCCTTGGGCCTCTGCGCCTGTGTGGGAGACTCAGAAGAAGCTCCTGGCTCCTGGCTTCGGATCAGCCCAGCTTTGACCATTGTGGCCATTTGGGGAATGAACCAGCAAATGGAAGACCTACCTCTCTGTCTCTGTCTCTCTCTCGCTCTCTCTCTGCCTCTGCCTCTACCTCTTTCTGTAACTCTGCCTTTCAAATAAATAAATCTTTTTTTTGTAAAAATGATATACTAAGCTTTTTTAAAAAATCTTACTGTAGTAGTGTTTTGGAACTTGGATCAATGTAGTTTGAGTGAGGAACAAAAGAGATCAGAGAGACTTTAATAAAGCTACTGCCATGGTAGATGTAGCCTAAAATGTTGTCACTTTGGTTAAATAGCACGAAGCACCTATGCTGTGCCAGAGTCAAATATCATTTCAGTGAAAATTTAAGAAACAGTTTTCACACATCTTAAGAGGACAGGTTTTAGTAATATAAAGACCTATATATATGCTTAATGTGTATTGGCTATATTACTTTGAGCAAGTTAGTTTGCCCTGCAGAATTTTCTTCACAATTATGAAATATGGATAGAAATACCCACTTCATGGCTGGCACCACAGCTCACTAGGCTAATCCTCCGCCTGCGGCGCCGGCACCCCAGGTTCTAGTCCTGGTTGGTGCGCTGGATTCTGTCCATATTGCCCCTCTTCCTGTCCAGCTCTCTGCTGTGGCCCGGGAGTGCAGTGGAGGATGGCCCAAGTGCTTGGGCCCTGCACCCATGGGAGACCAGGATAAGTACCTGGCTCCTGTCATCGGATCAGCGCGGTGCGCTGGCCACAGCGCACCGGCCTCGGTGGCCATTAGAGGGTGAACCAATGGCAAAGGAAGACCTTTCTCTCTGTCTCTCTCTCTCACTGTCCACTCTGCCTGTCAAAAAAAAAAAAAAAAGAATTGAACCAAAGGAAAAGGAAGACCTTTCTCTCTCTCTCTCTTTCTCTCTCTCTCTCTCTCTCTCTCTGTCCACTCTGCATGTCAAAAAAAAAAAAAAATATGCACTTCACAGGAATTTATGATATGTGAAGCTCTCAAAAGGGAATAAGTCCTCAGTTGATGGCATCCACTGTTGTGTTTTTATTTTTGTTTTTGTTTTTCCCATAAGCCTTAGGACAGAGATAGGGGCTGGCAAGGGCTACATGACAATAGTCTAGCCTCTCCATCCCACTTTCATAATTGTTGATACCAGCACAGAGGGAGCATAGCATTTTTTAAAATCATTGCTGGTGGGGTTTTTTGAAAACACATTAATTATACTTATTGAAAATTATGCTAAAAATGAAAATTTGATTATTTTCTTAATCTGAGTTGTCAGATACAAGGAGTGGTATAGATAATAGAAATAATAGGGGGCATCATTTATGTATTTATCTCATGAGTGGATAGTTTTATATTTTGACTATTTAAAAGAATGAAAATTGCAAGGTAGATAAGAGAGTATTGTTTCATCTCATACTTTACTTTCTGCATTACAGGAAAAAAGGGACACATTTAATCTCTTGGACAAAGCTTCTTTCATAGACTTCACTGCACCCACTGGGACAGCATATATTAAAGAAAGAAAGAAACAATGGGCTCCTAACTGGGGGACTGAAGGAAAAGGATGCTGCTTCTAAGGGATCCTCACTTCTCTTTGCTCCTGTCTCCAATTATCTCTACCCAGATGACCTGCCCTGGTTGGGGGTCTGTGCTGGGGGTCGTCAGTGCCCTGGTGTTGAGGTGGTAGGACCTAGGACAAGGCGATGAGATCACTAGGGACACTGCCCTTGGCAGGGATTTATGCTCTTGTGGAACAAGACAGCGCTCCCAGGAGTGGGTCGTCTTGAAAGACGAAACCTGACTCCTGCTGTCTTGCCACAGGTTCACTTCCTTTCACCGGAGCTCCATGCTAGGATGTAGACATGGGGGCCTCAGCAGAGCTAAGTCGATGGCGATGCCTTGCTCCTGAATCTCTAGAACTGTGGGCTAAGTAACTCTTCTCTTTACCCAGCCTCATGTATTTTGTTATAGCAACAGAAAATAGTCTAAGATCCATGTAGGTTTATGGATCCAGTGCCACACACTGCCCGAGATCCCTGAGGTCCTTCGTTTATTTGGGTGTCCTGTTGCAGTAGGTGGGGACCACAGAGGGTACAGGATGCTGGTGTGGACACTCAGGCCCAGTCTCCAGTTTCTTAGCTGTCTCACCCTAGCAGCTGGACTGAGGCATCTTGATCAAGAGAAAAGTGGGTTAGGAAATACGAAGTCAAAGCCACTTTAAAGAAAGAAAAGGCAGCTTGAGAATATCAGACAGGAAACAAAATTACATCAGGACAAATGCAAAGGTGAGGAAGCGTTAGAAGGCCACGTGGAAAGCCGGCTTTCATTGTTTTTCCGATGTTGGATAGGCTGATGGAGCATCCGGGAAGATGGAGGGACATTTTAATCTTTATTGCCTCTCAGTCATCCTGCCCTCATCCCTAAAAGTTAAATATTGTGCTTCATCATAACCTGGATTTTCACAGGTTTGTTTGTGAGACCATTCTAGGTGCATATCCACTTATGAAATGGAAAGAAAATGTCTTAAAACAAACATGGGCATACAATCTTTTCAAAACTTGTGGTCGGGCTGTATTTCCTCCATTCTTTCAGCTGTCACTTAATGACAAAGTGGGTTTTGCCTTTATAACACACATTGATAACTGTTTAATTTTTATTGTGTTTAGGAACAGTGGATAAATGAGGGAACCTCAAAAAGTTCACAGAAAATGCATATAATGAAAAATTGCCTGGATTTCTAAAATGTTTGAGTCAAAAATAAGCTTATTCTTAAATTTGTTTTTCAAAACAAACTTTTTGAGTTCCCTTCATATACAATTATGGAAAGCCATGATTTTTCTAGAAATTATGTCAGTAGATACACTTTAGATAATTTTTTTTTTGACAGGCAGAGTGGACAGTGAGAGAGAGAGACAGAGAGAAAGGTCATCCTTTTGCCATTGGTTCACCCTCCAATGGCCACTGTGGCTGGCGTGCTGCGGCCGGCGCATCGCGTTGATCCGAAGCCAGGAGTCAGGTGCTTCTCCTAGTCTCCCATGCGGGTGCAGGGCCCTAGCCCTTGGGCCATCCTCCACTGCACTCCCGGGCCACAGCAGAGAGCTGGCCTGGAAGAGGGGCAACTGGGACAGAATCCGGTGCCCCGACCGGGACTAGAACCTGGTGTGCCAGCGCCGCAAGGCGGAGGATTAGCCTAGTGAGCCATGGCGCCAACTCTCTCTTTAGATAAATTAAAAGTCCTGAACTCTTTAACATGGAGGTATTATAAATACAATATACAGAACATTTTGTTTTTTTGACAGGCAGAGTGGACAGTGAGAGAGAGACAAAGAGAAAGGTCTTCCTTTGCCGTTGGTTCAAAAGCATAATTGTTGGTATGAAGGAAACCTCGTTTAAAACTAGAAAAAATAACGTTCAAAATGAAGTGAAATCCAAAACTAAATCCTTCATAGTTTAAATATTGCATAGCAAATAAAAAATAAGTAACTTTCTAGAAGATATTATAGTGATTGTGTCAATTCTACATGAAAACATAAAATGAATAAGCAACAACCCTGGGCAACTTGCAAAGCTGCTGCTAAGAATTATTTTTTACAATATATTTCAAGCTATTGAAAATTCATATAATACCACTTAGGGGAATCTTATGTGTTACAATCCAATGTATTTTGAGCATTTGTTTACAGACCTTTTTTCCTTAGTCTGAAACACTTTGTACAAATTCATAAACAGCAGCTTTGCCAGGATCCTTTTAAAAGTAGGAAACAAAGACAATAGCAGGGCTAAGCAATTTATATTAACCATAAGAACAGGGGGCATGAATTGCTCAAATGCACAGTGAAGCATATGCTTACCCAGACTTTTCATAATTTACAGTGGGAAAGAGAGAAAATTGTCAGTAAATTATGTAATGATTCAATGTTAAAGAAAGGAGAAGACTTCAGCTATTGCTCTAGGTTGGTAGAAACTTATCTTCAGAGGCAAAACAAGACCCCAGATCAAAAGGGGGAGTGGTGTGAGTACTGATACTCATTGTCAGAATTATAAATGGGTTTCATGGTATTTGCAAAAGAATGCCATTAATAATAAAGCTAGTAAAAATAGTGGCTATGAAAATTCAACAGAAGATAACTAATCAAGGCACTAAAACAAGGGGAAACTCATAAAATATCCTTTATCATGGTCAGAAAAGCAGCAAAATAAGTATTGTTGGTGCTAGTGATTTCTTCAAAGACTAATTTTGTGATTTCAAATTCAGATGTCATATACAGAACTGTATTGTTCTTTTAAAAGGAGAGTTGCTATGCAATGGTATGACTGCCTTTAACTTGAAAATGGTTCATGTAATCACATCTATGGAGCATAACTTATTTTAGGAAAACTGCTCAGCCTACAGTTTAGTTTCAGTCTACGTACCTTGGGGAAAAAGACCCCATCTGTGACTACCAAAAAATAATTTTAAGGTCAGGTAGAAAGCCTTCTTGATACCTTTCAAATC